CTCAGTCATTGAAGGCTCTGTAAGAGGAGCATTGGAAGCAGAAGACAGGGCAGGTGCCAAGGCCCTGGGGTAGGTGTGGGCTTGATGTATTCACGGAACACAGAGAGGGCCAGTGGGGCTGAAGCAGCGTGAGGCAGAGGTGTGAGGAGATGCCGGGGTTGTGGCATGCCAGGCTGGGCCTTGTTGGCGAAGGTGAGGGATCTGAGGGCTGTTAGCGTTCAGAGAAGGGAAAGGACACGGTTAGTCAGCACTGGCTTCCTGAAGAAGCTTTGTCACCGGATGAAGACAAGGATGAAGGCTTCCGTTGTCCACTCAGAGGCAGGAACCAGCATCCGCAGCAGTCCGGTGGGAGCCTGAAGTGAAGATCTGAGCAGAACTTCCTGCAGCTGGGGTAACAACTGTCCACCACTTCTGCGTCTCAGAATCACCACCACCTAACGCCCTTCGGTCCATTCTCAGCAGCGCCCCAGCAGAGTCCACCTCCCCGTCCCCGGCCCCCAGGACTCTAACTCTTTAAGGAAGCAGGCTGCCACATCTTCCGCTGGTGGGTTCAAACCACTGGCTTCTCGGTTCGTGCTTCACCCACTGTGCCACTGGGGGCCCCTCTCAAAACAGCTCAGATGTGTTATCTTACATCTCTGCATTGGGTTCCTTCTAAGTTTGTCAGGAAGAATCCATTTCCCTGCCCTTTTTTTAGTTCCCAGGGATGTCCTGGGAGAGCCCTGGTGGTACCGTGAGGAAAGCACGGGGCTGCTCACGGAGAGGCCAGCAGTGTTGTCAGGTGCTGTGGAGTCCACTCCAACTTAGCGACCCAGGGACCAGAGAACACTGCCCAGCATCCATGGTGCTTGAGCCCGCAGCTGCAGCCTTCACCTTTTCCTCTGGCCCCTCTTTTACCAAGCGTGATGTCCTTCTTGGGGACTGGTCCCTCCTGATTACACAAAGTGGTTTGACCCAGTGTCGCCGTCCTCACGTGAAAGGAGCATTCTGACGGCCCTTCCCTCCAGGACAGCTTCGGGGGCCATTATTCTGCCAGCCACCGTCGGTCATACCTGACACACCGTCGGTCATACCTGACGCACCGTCGGTCGGTCATACCTGACGCACCGTCGGTCATATCTGACGCACCGTCGGTCATACCTGACAGATAGTCCCTGAGCCCTCATGTGTGTGTGTGTGCGCGCGCGCCCCAGCAGTGGGCAGGAGGAGCAGGGTACCTCTCAGGCCACATCTGCGCAGAGCTCACATCTGCCACCATCAAGTGCTGCCCAGACCCTGCCCTTCACCTACCCCTTGACCTTGAACCAGCTGCTTGGCTACTTGGATGCTTTGTTACTATCACTTCTGCAGTGCAGGCGGCTTCCTGATGAGGGGGAGGGACTTAGGAGTTTATTTAAAAGATCAGAGGAGAGACAGTGAGCGGATGGAAGAGGTCAGGGGATATCCTTAGCACATCCTGGGTCTGACAGCTTTACACGTATTAACCGTTTAATCCCCGCAGCCATCCTCCGAGAGCTCTTTCCTGCTAGCTGGTTCTTCTCATCTCCCCTGCGTGCCAACAATGAAGATTATGTCTGAGATCTGCCAACATCCAGTAAGCAGAGAAAACGGGACAAACTCCAGTCTACAAGTTCTAGCATCCCTCCTTTTAGCTACTGTACCCTCCAGAGCCACAGTGATTCTGTTTTCCAAGAGTTCATGACTTCACAATTGTTTTCTTTTGTAACCAAACTGTTGCAACAGTTTTAATACTTGTAGTTGCATGGAATATAATTCATATGTTGTTGTTGTTCTTGTTATGTGCCCGTTGAGTTGCCAGCGACTCACAGCGACCTTATGTACAACAGCCCTAAACCCTGCTCTATCCTGTGCCAATCTCATTGCCTCTGACACACCTACTCTCATTACCCCATTCACTGAATCAACCCATCTCGTCGAGGGTCTCCCTCTCTTTCTCTGTCCCTCCACCCTCCCAAGAATGATGTCCCTCTCCAAGGACTGGTCCCTCCTTGCAACATGTCCGAAGTATGTCAGATGAAGCTTCAGAATCCTTGCCTCCAAGGAGCAGCCTGGCTTCACCCTCTCCAGGACAAACCTGTTTGTTCTCCTAGCAGTTGATGTTATACTCAGTACTCTTCTCCAGCACCACAACTCAAAGGTTTCAATTCTCTTTCTATCATCCCGAGTCATTGTCCAGCTCTTTGATACATAGCAAGTAATTACAAAGACCGTGGCCTGTATCAGGCACACCTTAGTCTTCAGACTGGCATCGTTACTCTTCAGTACTTTGGAGAGGTCTCTGACAGCAAGCAGACTTTCCCACCCCAATTCATCTGGTACCAAGAGCATTGATTGTAGAGCCAAGCAAACTGAAGCTGTCAACAGTCTCAATCCCTTCGTCATCTGTCATGATGCAATTTAAAACTGTGCAATTCATGTTGTTCAGTGCCTTCCAGTGGATTTCTACTTAACGTGACTCCCATGTCCAGCAGAACAAAACCCCATCTGATCCTGGACCATCTCAGGATCCTTGTAGGTGAGCCCCTCATTGCAACCACAGTGTCCGTCTAGCTGCTAGTCTGCAGTGCTCTCAGTGGTCTTTGCCACGACCCCCGTTCACATGGATCAGTTTGCCTTCGGTTCTCTTTATTCACAGTCCAGCTTTTGCGTGCGGACAGTCCAGTGTGAATGTGTAAGGAGCTCTGGTCACCCGGGGAGTGGCGAGCTGTGCTGCCAGCCCACAGACAGTCAGTTCAAACCCACCAGCTGCTCTGCAGGAGAGAGATGGACAGTTTCTGCCTGCATGACTTACAGCCTTTGAAAACCCACTGGAGGGTCGGCTGTGAGTCAGTTTAGTTACATTTCTTTAACTTTGTATATATAACTACATATCTATATATAATTATAAATATATATAACAACTATATATATAAATATATATATAGAACTAAATATATTTATATCTATCTATATAGTGTTTATATACATTGTTGTTGCTGTTGTTAAGTGCCGTGGAGTCTAGGCAACTCACAGTGACCCTATGAAGGGAAGTCCTCAACATTTGTGTGACTTTCATCCTCTTTCCAGGTTCGTAGAGTTTCCGAAGGCAAGTTGTTTCGGAAGTGGATGCCACTCCTGCTTCGAAGCTTGTTTTGTTTTTTTTTTTTTGTTTTTCCCAAATTGATTGCCTTTTTTATTTGTAGGTTTCCCATATGGGAATAGGGGCACAAAATCTCTGGCTACTTCATGCTGAACAGGGGCATTGACATTAAGGGGAAGTGAAGCTCACTTTAGCCCAAGCTTGTTTTAATCGGGGAGCTCCACCAAACACTGTCCACCATGGGTAACCATTAACGCGTTTGACACATCAATGTCAGTGTTCAGCTTCACAGCAACCACAAGTTACCGCTTTACAGCAAGTGACAAGCCAGGACATACGACCTAGAAGACTGTATGAACAAAACCAATGAGAAACAGGCCTGAGGGCCACGGATTAAAAGTCACCCACCTTTGGCTTGGTAGCATCGCTTTCTGTCCACTAGGCCGACTGATCGCTCTCTATGTTGATGTTATTGTTGTTTATGTATGTACGTATATATTTAAACCAGGGGAGCGGTAGTGGCTTAGTGATAAGGAGTCTCACTGCTAATCTAAAGGCACCCAGTTTGAATCCCCCAGCTGCTGTGTGGGAGGAAGCTGGGCGGTCTCCTCCCAGGTGACGTCCTGTCTCTGAAGATGTGCTGGAAGCTCAGCTGTGAGCTTGTTGTGACTCGACGGTATATCACAGAGCAGTTTTGAACTGCGCTGTGGAGCCGTCCCCACCACCAGCTCTACAGCGTCTTCATTGACCCTTCAGTGATCACCCCCAGCTCTCCGTACCCCCATTCCCTCCCAACCCGGATCTTTTTCTCTGCATTTACCTCTTCTAGACATGTTTGCATAAATGGGCTCCTGAAGCACGTGGCCTGGGATCTTCTTTCACTGAGCATAACGTTTCCCAGTTTGTCCCGTGTCTAGTGGTCTAGTGTGTGTTACACTTAATTTGTTTTTACAGCCGAATCTTCCTCCACTGTAGGATGTAACCAGTCTTCACTTGCTGGGTGATTGGGTTTCCCCTCATTGGGCTTATTTTGCACAGTACCGCTGTCACTGCTCGTGTACACACGTCTGGGAATCTCTGTCTCTCTCGGTAAATACCTGGGCCCAGAACTGCGGCGTCACATGGTGGGTCTGTGTTTGACTTTTTGAGGACCCAGCAGGCTGTTGTCTGAAGTGGCCTCACCGTCAGCTTCCCTTCCCACCCGTGGCCGGTTCCAGTGTCTCCGTTTTCTCGCCAGCACTTGCTCTTGTCGGTCTTTTTCCTGGTACCCGCTGCCACCGGGCACATTCCAGCTCACGGCGGCCCTGCAGGCCAGACGAACTGCCTCATAGTGTTCCCCAGGCTGCACACCTTGACAGAGACCCACGGCCTCATCATTCCCCGTGGAGAAGCTGGGGGTTCTTTGGTGGAGGCGGGGGGGGTGTCTCACAGGAGTCCTGGGAGCACAGTGATTCAGACGCTCTCCTGCTAGCCAGAACACCCGCCGTGTGCGCCCACCGGCTGCTCCGTGAAGAACACACAGCTTTGAGATCCTCTGGGGCAGCTCTTCTCTGGCCTGCAGGGTTGGTGGGAGTCAGAAGGGACTTTACGGCAGCAGGTTTGAATGTTCGGTTTTGTTTTGGTCCAGTGATCGGGGGCATGAGGGTGGCCGGGACTGTCCACCTGCCGAGTAGCTGAGAGGTCTGGTGTTTGCCTTGCAGCCCCTTGTGGGTCAGTCCTAAGCAGGCCTGGCCGGAATGACATACATGCAGATAACTGCACTCAACGGCCTTCTCTTTCTCACAGAGGCATCATCCGGGCAGGTTGTGCCCCGTCTGTAGGGGCCTGGGTCTCCTCGGGGGGAGAGGGGTGGACAGCGGCGAGGGGCAGGTAGTCACCAAGCCGTGTCTCACCTTCTCAGGAACTGGAGCTGGTGGAGGACGTGTGGCGAGGGGAGGCGCAGGACCTGCTCTCCCAGATCGCCCAGCTGCAGGAGGAGAACAAACAGCTCATGACCAACCTCTCCCACAAAGACAGCAGCATCTCTGAGGAGGAGTTCCAGAAGCAGGAAGGTACGGCCAGAGCAGGTGCGGCAGGAGGAGGTGGCGGCTGGGGGACAGCTGGGCTGGGAGATAGCCGAGGTCATCCTGGGGGTGAATGAGGTCTCCCGCTAGCTCTGGGGTCAGAAGGAGGTGGCGGCGGCTGGGGCACAGCCTGAGGACATCCTGGGGCAAGTGGACATGCCTTCACATGAGTCGCACATGCTCAGAGGCCCTGGGAAGAAAGGCCTGGCATCTTCCCAGCTGTCACCGTCTTGACACCCCTTTGGAGCAGGTCAGCTTTGTGCACACATGGGGTTGTCAAGAGTCAGAGCTGATGTGACACGCCTGTTCCTGGCTACGAGCACCCCCTGTAATAACCCCCAACAAACACATCCCCTGCCCTGAGTCGGCTGTGGCCCACACAGCCCTCTGCTGGCTTTCCGAGGCTGTTCATCTTTACGGAGTCCGGAGAGCTAGCCATCACGCCACGGAACCTTCACATGCTCATCTTGACAAGGGCACACTGCTTCGCCTTTCCCCCGCAGAGTTGGTGGGTTCACACTGCCAACCTTTTTGATAATAATCCCTCATGTACCCGAGGCTCTGGCCACCAGGAATCATAATGATGAGACCCGTCGGCCAGTGTGCGTATGGGCTCTCTAACCTCCACCCTTCTGCCTCCCGTTACCACGCTGTTCAAGCCAGAACTCTACCAGAGGGTTTTGTCAGCCCATTTTACAGATGAGGAAGCAGAGAGTTTCACCCGGCAGACAGCTAGCCAATCCCCACCACCTGTTTGCCTCCTCCTGACGCTGGAATTACACTGTAGCCAGGAGAGAGCCTTCATAAAGCTTATGTGCTTCTGTTGATGTGGGGGGTTTTAATTAATTTTTAAAAAATTGTGATTTGAGTGGGAGTTTAGAAAAGCAAATTTGGTTTTCCATTTAACCGTTCATACACATTTTATTTTCCGACCTTCCTTACAATACGCACCAATGTCCGTACACTGCCCACTCCCTCCTTCTTTCCAGCATCCTCCTGTCCTGCCCTTCTTGCTTTCTGGGTTTTGTCCTTGGACAAATGCTGCTCTATGAAGCTTATCTTGACCACTGACACACCAGGACTCCTAACTGGACTCAGGTAGAGCTGAATTAGAATTTCTTCTATCCAGGGTCTTTTAAGAAGGCATCCCATGCCACGCTGCCAGCAGCTGGGATTCCCACCTGAGTAACACTAGAAAGTACATAGATAGGTTGGCTCAAGATCTTGTCCTCAAAGTAGGATTGAGACGAGGGAATTCTAGACCCCCAAGTTCTCTTCTGACCTGAGACGTTAGAGCATTGATTTTTTTTTGTTTGTTTTGTTTTTAACTTTTCATTGTGCTACAGTATATACTGACAGTATACAGGGTAAATTGGTTTTCCAGTTAACAACTCATACACATTATAGTGTTTAATGTTTTTAGTAATTATAATGAAAGTTTACAGAGACTTTGGATTTCCATTCATTCATTGTTGCACTTTTCTCCCTGCCCACACCCACCTCAGTTCACTCTTCTCTTTGAAAAGTAAAAGAAAAATTTTTGCATTGTTATACAATCCGTCCCCCCCAAGTCCACTCCACTATGCAGCCTTCATTGAGGACTCCTGTCTTTACAATAATACCTAATTATATATCCTTTGTAAACAGTTCTCTTCCTCTTCTGTTTCAATGCAGTATACATTATTTATCACCTCTTTCTCAGTCTCCCCTCAACCCTGATGTCAGTCCCATTTTACAGCAGTGGCACTATTCAATATTTGTCCTTTTGTGACTGAGATATTTCATTCAGCATAATGTCCTCCAAGGTCACCCATTTTGAATAATATTTCATGAGTTCCTTGTTTTTCAGTGCAGCATAATATTCCATTGACTATTCCAGTGACTACATGAGAGCTTCTCTATCCGTTCATTTGTTGATGGGCACTTGGGTTGTTTCCAACTCATTGCTGTTGTGAACAAAGCTGCGATACACATGGGTGTGCATATATTTGCTAGGGTGGAAGTTATGGTTCCTCTAGGATATATTCCCAGTAGTGGAATTGCTGGGTCAAATGGTATTTCTATTTCCAACTTTTTGAGAAAGCGCCACACCGCCTTCCATAGTGCTTGCATCATTTTACATTCCCACCAACAGTGAATAAGAATTCCAGTTCCTCTGCAACCTTGCCAGCATTTGTTGTTTGATGTTCTGTTAAATTTTGCTATTCTTACTGGGGTGAGGTGATATCTCATAGTTGTTTTGTACACATTTTGTTTTAGGAAACTAATTCTAATCCCCACGGTGTAACAGCACTCTTTCAGCTCTTTCCCTGTGATTCCTGTTTCCACTCCTCCTTGCATGGTCCTTCTGAGCTTTCTCCCTGGTATTACTGAGCCACAGGGGGACGTCATTTCCAGGCTTATGATGTTATTGTTTTGGCTTTTAAATGTTTTACTCTTGAAAAATCTATGGTAAATACATGCATGAAATTAAAACAAAAATTATCGGGTGTGGTGATGGGAGAGTAAACATTTGCCGTAAACGCGATCCCTCGACGGCAGACTTTGTTCCCCGTTGGCTGCTGGCTTCTCATGAAACAGACCAGGCTGTGCAGCTTAGCTGGGATTACCACCTGCCTGGCGTCCCCCGAGGGGCTCACTCAGGGCTCCCGTGTTGGCGGCACCCTCCACCCCAGTGGAGAGGCCGAGCAGATGCCAGGCTTGCCTTCAGTGGTTATTTTTATTTTGGATGAGAAATCACGGAAACACAACAGGGCAGAGACATTTCCCCACCTGTCACAGGAACAGGAATTGGGCAATAGGTCCCTAGGGGAAAGTGGAGCCCTTCGTGTACTCAGGGTCACACTCTGGGGAGGTACCAGGCACCTGGCTGGCTGCACTGAGGGTCCAGGGGTGTAGTCACCTGTTTCTGGTGTGAGTAGTGTGGGTGGTGAGTGGGGTGTGACAAGGACAGCCTGTTCCGAGGAGGGTTCTCTGTGGAAAAGGCTGCTTCCTCAGCAGTTGATACTCGGGACTATTTTCATAGTGCCCATCACACCTGTGAATATGTATTCAAGAGTCTATCTCAGTCATCCAGTGCGGTTGTCACAGATACCACATGCACCGTCTCAGTCACCCAGTGCTCCTGTCACACAGACACACCACAATGCACTGTCTCAGTCACCCAGTGCTGCTGTCACAGAGACACCACAGTGCACCGTCTCAGTCA